TCAACTACATTTACCTCATTTGAATCTGCTATTTTCACTTTTCTTTCAGTTTCACTAGACGTTTACCTTTTTGTTGTTTGTTTTCTACAGAATTAGTTCTGTGGTTGCTTCTTTTTTTTTCTGGGTGACTGTTTTCTTCCCTTTTTTCCCCACTCCTCGTTTATTTTGCTATTCTTTTTATATCTTCTTGAGATGGATGCTGTGTTTGCTTATTTGCTTCTAAGTTCGGTTTTGTGTTTTTGTACTCGACTTTTAAAAACTTCTTATTTCACGGACCATCCACCATCCAAGCAAACTTCCCGTTTGGGGAGAACCCCAAAATAGGTGCCAGGCGAGGCCCCGCTCTCCCGCCCCATTATACAAGCTGGGAGTGGGGCAGGGCCTGGTTGTAGAACGAAACGGGCCAGATGCTCTGGCCAGATCTCCGAAGCCAGCACCCACGGGCCTCCCAAAGGGAGTCACAGTTCTAATCGGACGTCAGCAGCGGAGTTAGAGCCCAGGGTGGGGACAAACACCTTGCTTGTGGCCCTGGCACCTCCTGTGCTGTCCTGTCGCCAATGTGACTGGCCTGGGGCAGCCACCCAGCCTTCCCAGGCTCTTCCTGGCTTCTGAGCCCAATTCTCCAGCCTTTTCCTTCATTTTTTGAGCTACTTGATAGTTTCCAAACAATTACTTTTCTGCTTAGGTTAACTGTGTGTTTAAAATTTAGAATTCTGACTGGCATAGAGTTTTCTTTTGCATAGTTCTTAGTCATTCCCTAACTATTCCATACTTGCAATTTCGAAGTTTCTGTCGCCCAGGTGGAGGCCACCTCCCAGCTCCAGGCCAAGCTGCCTCCGCCTGGCCAGTTAGCTGGGCGCTGGCCCAGAGCCCCTGGTCAGGGCCGGGGGGGGGGGGGGGGGGGGTGGGGACTCATGTGGGATTTTGGGACGCGCGCAGTCAGTCTGCGAGGGCCTCACGGTGCATGCGTGCTTCCCTGGCCCCGTGACTCTGCTTTAACGACTGAGCTGCGAGGGCAGAGCTGGCCCCACCGCCCGGCTGCTGGTTGTGCCGGATGGACAACAACCCAAACACTCTGTTTCGAGTGCGCAGAGCAACGCGATGACAACACAGAGAGAGAGAGACCTAGAGAGAGAGAGAATGAGAGAAAGAGACGGAAACAGGTGACGAAGCCAGGGAGAGAGGCATCCGTTTCAGCGTGACCATCACCTCATCCCGCCAGGCTGCAGCAACGGGCCGCCGCCGCCGTGGGGACAAGCCTCGCGCTCCGCAGCATTTGGGAGGTGCGGCAGCGTCTGTCCTGTTACTCGTGGCGGCAGCATTCATGACCAGCAGTCCTGAGCCCGGTGTGGGTGCCGGCTTCCTGGGTGCTTGCTGGGCGCTATCTCCCCTAACCCTAAAGACACCTCGGAGGCAGCACTGGGGTAACCCTGTCTGCAGGGGTGGGAACAGCGGGGGGGGGGGGGGGCAGATCACCTGCCCGGGGGGCCAGTTGACTCAACGCCAGCACCCGGACTCAGGCCTGTGTCTGTCTTAGAGCCATGTCCCCGCCACTGGGCTCTGCCCACAGGTCCTATATTTGCACCAGAGTTCATTCTTCCAAACCATCTGGGAAACGACATTTTCCTCTCTCCGCTCCCAGCACAAAGCTACGTTTACTTGTGAGCCTAGAAAGGATCAACCCAAACCCAATGGTTACTAAGGGAAGGGAAGGGAAGCCAGTGGCAGCCCCAGCTCTCAGCACATCATGTATGTTTCTCCCTGGCTGCAAAGAGGAGAATCCCTTCAATAACAACTTTCCATCTAAAAATAAACTAGTGGCCAGCCCTGCCATTACACCTCCCAGCCGGAGGCACCTGCTTTCCACGCTATTCCCGAGGGCGGGAGGTCCACCTCTCCGGTCTGCTAATGGGCCCCACAGAGGCCGGAACGGAGCTCAGTGGACGGGAGACCTGAGCTGTATGGGCCGGAAGCAGCGGGGGTTTCCCAGGAGGGCTGTGAGCAGCTGCATCTGACAACCAACTGCATGCTACTCATTCCGCCTTCCTCCACGGTGCGGCCCCCGGTCGGGGTGGGGGTGGGGGTGGGGTGCAAGCTGCAGCCCTAGGACCATCACATGACGCTCAGAGGCAGCTGTTGGCAAGGGGCTTTTGGTCCAGGGTTCCTCCTCTTTTTATTTATTAAACATATTTATTTTTATTAACTTCAGAGAGGAAGGAAGAGGGAGAGAGAGATAGAAACATCAATGATGAGAGAGAATCACTGATCAGCTGGGGATCAAGTCTGCAACTCAGGCATGTGTCCCGACCAGGAATTGAACCGTGACCTCCCGGTTCACAGGTCGACGCTCAACCACTGAGCCACAGTGGCTGGGCAGTGTTCCTCCTCTTGACGCCACCCCCAAACATCCCCTTCTTCTCTTGTCCCTTCACTGTTCTCCCAGTTACAGGCGCCCAGCATGCTTGGCTGTGAGAGCTGACTGCCACGTGACTGGGATTTATCGCGTCGGTTGCGGAAGGCCCCTGGCTATTCCAGACTAGGGACTCTGACCTTCCCAGCTGGTGGTTTCCACGAGAGAGGATACCGTCTGAAGCGGTTATACCAGAGGAGAAGTGCACTGTTCACTGGGGTCGACACTTCATTTTGTAAGGGGATTTTACATCTAATTCCTCAGGGTTCTTTAAGGAACATGTAAACCTATGGGCGATGGAGGGAACACATGAGAGAATTAGATGACCTTTTAGAAAGTGTTTTATAATAACCCAAAGGGATTTTTAAAACACTATGAGACGGGGAAGAAAGCTGTGTCATGATTAGGAATCTAGCCTAGAAATAAGACACAGAGGACTGAGACCAACTGCTACAAATGAATGAACAGACGCAGTCAGGTGTCTAGTAAACATTACACAAATGATAAAGAGAAGGGGGTTCGAAGTTAACTCCCTACCATAGTAGAAATTGGACAAAGTCTTTAGACTCCAGGGAAGGTGTGCAAATCAGATTTTATGTGAAAAAGTGTAACTTACATACATTCCATCCCATAATAATAGTAACTACAGAATTACAGCCCCCAAAAGGGTCTTGAAAATCCCTACAGACGGTTCCCCTGAAGATACGTAAGCCACTGTGATGTGTTGGCTTAAAAATGTCCTCAAGATGGGCCTGAGCTGGAGTCCGCAGGAAGGGTATGAGAAACCAAACAAGGCTGTCAGTGTCCCTGTAGAAACCCCGATGTGCCCTCACATGGAGGACCAGGTATGCTTTTGGTCCTCCCACCGTAGATGGCTATAGGACAGTGGTTCTCAACCTTCCTAATGCCGCGACCCTTTAATACAGTTCCTCATGCTGTGGTGACCCCAATTTCATTGTTACAAATTGAACATAATTAAAGCATAGTGATTAATCACAAAACAATATGTGATTATATATGTGTTTTCTGATGGTCTTAGGCGACCCCTGTGAAAGGGTCGGTCAACCCCCGAAGGGGTCGCGACCCACAGGTTGAGAACCGCTGCTATAGGAGATTAGGAAACTGACCAGAGAAAGCCAATCAAAAGTATGAAGGGAGCAGCGTTAATCACAGCGACAGTGCTAACAATTACAGAGCATTCGCTGTACACCAGGCACTATTCCAAGTGCTTTGCGTGTGTTAAATCATGAATTCTCTCAACCATCCCACGAGGAAGGGACTGCTATGGACCCCGCTGAGAGATGAGAAAACCAAGGCACAGAGAGCTGAAGTAGTTTGTGCACGTCACAAAGCTCGTATCTGCATCCAGGCCATGTGGTGCCCGATTCCAGGCTCTTAACCACAGGCTACTTCCCACCTGGGCAAGACTGAACCGAATTCCACGCTGTCCCGCCGGCAGCAAGGCTACAGGTGATCTATGTGAGCCAGTAAAACCGAGACCAGGCCCGATAGGGGAATCTTGGCCTTTCTAACCCACCGTAGAGGATTCAAGTTAGAATAAAGCACGTTTCAGATAAATAAGAGGAAAACGGCTTTGCACAGCAGGAAGTACATGATACCACTTTACTTTCCCCCAGGAGAATAGACTACCTATTCTGCCAGACTCAAAGAGAATGTTGGCAATCGATCGTGTGTTACCGAGGGAACAAGTTTGCTCCGAGGCGTCCGGTCCTTTCTGCAGGAGGGAACGGGGTTTCGGGGCCTACGTGCTCAGGAATGTCCTTAGGTATGTCTCTTAGAGGCAGGTGTGGGGCTGAGGAAGGAGGCCTTCCCTCGTCCGTTTCTCCCTGCCCTCCCTGTGCCCGGGGTCTGCTGCCATCTCCTTAACAGGAAGTGCTTGACAAAAAATTCCAAGGGGCTGGGGAGCCAGGTCAGTCATATAAATCCTGTGCTGGGCTGGCCGTGGCCTAACAGTAGGGCCAAGTCCTGCAGCTGAGGACCCCTGGGCTCCACTGTGCTCCCTCTGTCCATCCCCTAGTCCGTCCTGGGGGGAAGTCAGTAGACAGATGGGAGGTCTCGGTGGTCTCTGGGAAAAGTGACAATCCTGACTGTAGGCCCGGAAGTCTCTTGTCCCTTTTTCTCTCCTTCACTTCACATGCCTCCAACTCCCCACCCCAGCTGCCCCTGGAGGCACCACACAGAGCACAGCCGGCAACTCCCGCAGCCGCTCACTGGGCAACCGGGGGACCTCGGGGTGAGGTGGTCTTATGTCAAGTGCCTGCTGACCTGGAGGCTCCAGGGAACAAGGAACCCCCCTGGTATGCGTGCTCAGGGAGAAGGCCCCGGGCACTGCACGGGACGGGGAGCTGCAGGGTGTGAAAGAGGAAAATACAGGGTTTGGTAAGGCTCGGTGACCGGGATCAGCGGCAGGGGGCAAAGACGGTGGAACATTAACGATTACTGAGTGTTCGTTCACAGGCTTACAGAGACGCACACACTCCCTTTAGCAAAGGCAGCCGGCCACCCCATCAGCCACGGCGTCCGAGCACAAGCAGAGCTGGGGACGGAGGCGGTGTCCGCGTCCACTCACCTACGCAGTTATCACAAAGGCTACAGTGAGAGGCACGAGGGGGCCGGAAAATCTTGCAGGTGAAACAGTATTTCAGTTTCACGGTCTGGCCATTGATGATGACTTCTTTGGTTCTGGGAGGCGAGCGGTACCCCCCTGAACTGCTGCCGTTGGCGATATCTGTGGAGAAAAGAAGAAAAAGAGCGCATGCCCTTAACAGAGCACCTCCTCTGCAGGCCCTCGCACCTCGGGGGCCTGGGGTCCCTGCGCCTTTCTGGGAGTCTCCTGACACCTGAGGCCCGGAGGGCTGGCTGTCCCCTAGCCTCCAGCTCCTGGCCAGGCCGGTGGGAGTGGCCACGTGACTGAGCTCGGGCCACCGGGGTGCCAGCACGCGGGCACTGCCCAGAGGGTGGGAACCTTCCCGGAGTCCTGCTCACTGTCCCCTCTCTCCTCAGTTCCCGCTCTCGCTCTCGGGACACACTGGAGCCACAAACCTGGGCCTGAAGGACGGCCCACGCCCAGGAAGACCTCCCCTGAGAACTCTTCACGGGGCTACGTTGTTACATTGTTGCCTAGGGCAGTGGTAGGCAAACTGCGGCTCTCGAGCCACATGCGGCTCTTTGGCCCCTTGAGCGTGGCTCTTCCACAAAATACCGACTTCTGCGCATGGGCCACGAAGTTTCAATCGCACTGTACGTGCGTGCCCGCATGTGGTATTTTGTGGAAGAGCCACACTCAAGGGGCCAAAGAGCCGCATATAGCTCGCGAGCCACGGTTTGCCGACCATGGGCCTTGGGAACTCTTCACTGGGCTGTGTTGTTACAATATCCAAAGGTTTGGTTTCACCTGTTACAGCAGCTAGCATTGCCCTCATTATACTGTGGGTGATAGTGAAGCTGGACAACCAAGGGGTCCGGGCTGCCTGTCATTACTTGAGCCAATTCAGCAGAGACAGGGTTGGATCATATATGAGCGTTTATTCCAATACTGCGGGCAGCATGGGAGAGCAGCAGGTCAGCCACAAAAATTTGCTCTGCAGCCCCCATAAGCCAGCTGCTTAGATAGAGAAGGACAAAGATTACGTGGGGGAGTAGGCAATGCAGGCTGGGGTGGGACGCCATTGTTTGGGCAACTAGGTTGTTAATCTTTCCATGATAATAGGCAGTTATTGAATGAGAATGGACTGCATGGGGTGGGGGTAGGGGGGGGGCACATACAATTCCCAGCCAGGTTAGAATGTCCTTTCTTTAACCAGCACAAGGCAATCAGAGTTGACAGCATGATTAATATTTCTCATAACCATAGCCAGCCCCCAATATTCTATTTTTGCCCCTAATGATAGTACGTCAGGAACACTTTCTCCGGTGTACTGCAAATTGAGCTCAAATAGCTCTTCATTTTGCCCACTGGCCTCCTCAAAAACACCAGGTATTGGCTGTGGGGAATAAATAAATATGTATATGTGTATATATATGCAATCATTACGTGTATATTTTAAAAATAATGTCTATGTTTTGTTTATTGTCTGACCTTATTTTTTAGAATCCTTTTTTAAATATTGAAGAAAATAGAAATACATCTAATTTTTAAGTGCCATGTGATCTTACAGCCTGGTTCTTGTCCCTGAATCCCAGGGAGCTTTTCAAACTCCCCGAATGCACAGACCCTCCCCAGCCCGTTACATCAGAGACTCCGGGGTGGCCCCGACTGCAGGGAGGAGAGCCCTGCTCTGCGGGGAGAGAAAACACCCAGTCTCATCCCCGCGCAGACCTCACAGCCCTAGCAGGCTGCCCGGGAGAACGGGGCAGCTGGCTGTGCGGGAACAGGCCACAGGCCACAGGCCACAGTGACGGTGAACAGCGAGAATATCCGTGCGGCTCCGGCCAGGGCTCTGACGGGGAGAACACAGGCAGAGCGGGCCTGGGGCTGCAGGAAACCACGGGAACCTTCGTGTTTCTCAAAACAGTGTTGATACCAGAAAGGTAGCTGCTCACTTTAGTCCACACACACTCGAAGGACACGCGGACAGCGGCCCTGCGGCATACACCTGGTAAATTTCCAGAGGCGGAAAGGAGTCCCATCATCCACTCAGCCCCACGCACACTCAGCCTGACTTCATCGGTGGAGGACAGTCTGGCCCCAGGGGTGGGAAAGGCTCCCCAGAGATGGGACCCGCAGCCGACGCTGAGGACCATGCTGCAGGGCCTGTCGCTCCCCGCGAGGTCCGGGCGGCAGCCACGCACCAGCGCCTGGCAGACAAGCAGGCTCTGGGTGCCCCTGAAGCAGCGCCGCAGACTCTGCATTTGCCAAGACCCCAGGGGTTCGTGCGCGTGGGAGTCTGAGAACTGGGCTCTGAGGCCTGTGGGTGCTCCCCCCCCACATCACCCATGCCTCTTACCCTCCCATTCCTCCTGGTTATGTACCCAAACACATGCCCGGGTCCCACTCACAGGAAGCCGCTTCACACGCCACTCCCAGCCACCCAAGCGTTTTCCGTGGAGACCCCACCCCGGTGACCCAGAACAGCCAGAGGTATCTGCAGGGCCGCCCTCACTCACCAATAGAATCCACAACCCACATGGGATGATTCCAGGCCCCCCCTTCACCCCAATCTTCTTTAAGCGGCTCTCAGAGCCTGGCTGGCATGGCTCAGTGGTTGAGTGTGGACCTAGGAACCAGGAGGAGATTCGATTCTCGGTCAGGGCACATGCCCGAGTTGCAGCATGATCCCCAGTGTGGGGAGTGCAGGAGGCAGCTGATCACTGATTCGCTCTCATCATTGAAGCTTCTATCTCTCCCCCCTCTCCCTTCCTCTCTCTCTTCCTCTCTGAAATCATTGATGTTTCTATCTCCCTCCCCTCTCTCAGAGCCCCGAAACCTGCCCCTAGCCCTTTAGACCAAGGCTTTGGTGTTTGGAAAACACCACTGGCAAGGGGAACCTTCTGAGTGATTACTATTCATGGAAAATTACAGTTCCACAAGCGATTGGAGAAGGAGAGGAAGGAGAGCTGAACCCGAGGGGGAGACGGCAGTCTGGTGGGCACGGAAGTGGAGACGTGAGGAGCAGACTCCCTGCTTTACCTCCGTGAGGACAACCCTTCTACTCAGGATGATTAAACTGCTGGGGCGCCATCCCAAGGGCTCTCGGTGGCCTTGCCCAGCAGGACACCCTCCTGGCATGTGCCCACCGGCCTGGCACCCCAGTGGCTGCCCTAAGGGAGAGTGCTAAATGCAGCAGACCTCCGGGAGGCCCTGAGCTCCCATAGCATCGACACTGGATGCGGAAGGCTCTCAGCCAAGGAGCTGGTGCTTCCCTGAACTCCAGGATGAAATAACTGGCTTTGAACCCATCAACGTGAAGGTCAGATCTCTCCCGGTGCCAACTGGGTGCCACTGGGGCCTGAATTAATTATGACCTGGTGCCTCCCCAGCCTTATGTCGGCTGTGAGATCTACTGTGTCTGTTTAGCTCTTGCAAACATGGGTAGAAAAACTAGAAAGCAGATACAGGTTTAAAAAGAACCAGAACCCAACCAATAATACTGTATTTGTGTTCATTTAATGAGAAGTTTAAACACCAATTTGTCAAGGAGATGTTTTAAGAAGCAGGGATGACAAACGCATCCACTATTGCAGTGGTTCTCAACCTTGGCTGCACATTAGAATCACCTGGGAATCTTTTTTAAAATCCTGGGCCTCATCCTCCGGAAATTCTGTTTCTTTGTTATGGGGTGGGGCCACAACATTAGTAACAAAGAAACAGAATTTCCGGAGGATGAGGCCCAGAAATCAGGATTTTAAAAAGATTCCCAGGCGACTCTAATGTGCAGCCGAGGTTGAGAACCACTGCTCTAGAAGGACCACTAAGTGCCTAGTTCTGTGCGGCAATGACTTGGAGGAGGGAGTGTTCGTTAGCGCACCTTGAGACAAACTAGTGATCTTGTCGTTCCAAAGCACATTTTCGAAAGATTAAACCTTTGATACAAAGTGAGCTGAAGGCCAGAACCCAACCTGGTCTCTGGGCTGGACAGATGCTAGGATGTTCGCAGCTACCACAGCTCTCTTTTGGGGGTTAGGGGGTGTCTGTTACATATATTCACTAAGTAATGCAACTAAAGACAAGAAAAAGAAAGTGCTTAGTACTTTTGACCTTTTTAATTTTAACCAACTGAGTTAATCCAAAATATGCTGATAGCTAAATGAAAATTAATGACCCTCTTATTTTTTGCCAGATTATATTTTCCACCTGGGTGCCCAAGCCTTTCCCTCCAGTGTAACAGAAATAAAGGTGGCTTTGTCCTTGCAAAGTTTTCATTTGCCTCCAATTTTGTTAGAGTCCCCTGAGCACACACACAAAACTGCTGTGCTGTGTGAATGAAAATCGATTCTTCTACGGAGGCCAGCTAGAAATATTTGTTTTTCTACTCCACGGCACAGCTTCTGCGTTTTCAGAAACCACCACATATTATATGATGACAGAGATCAATTTGGGAGGTCAGCGTTTGCAATACTGTAAGACAAGTAGATGAGAACGAAGGTAAGAACTGGGCACTAGAAATCATGCCAGGGCAGGGCCGTGTTTCATTATTATGGCCAGGAAAACCTGAGAGTCTTTTATTGAAATCTGAGTGGCACTCATACGAGGGCATCAGCAAAGACCTGAATGCAAGAACTGGCTTACATCTCAGTCTGTACAGTAATGAGATGTGATTGTACCTTTAACAAAGAAAAGAAACTTAAGGCTGCCAGTACAGAACTAGTACATAGTATCTATAAATACATCTATTTTATTTTTATTTATTTATTAAATGTAATTTATTGATTTTTTACAGAGAGGAAGGGAGAGGGATAGAGAGTTAGAAACATCGATGAGAGAGAAACATCGATCAGCTGCCTCCTGCACACAGCCCACTGGGTATGTGCCCGCAACCAAGGTACATGCCCTTGACCGGAACCGAAACTGAGTCCCTTGGGTCTTCAGGCCGAGGCTCCATCCACTGAGCCAAACCAGTCAGGGCTACACTCTATTTAAAAAGGAAAACCATGCTCATCCATTATGGTCTCATACTCTTATCTCTTTAGTCAACCCAGATTGGTTAAAATGAATAAGAATCTTCAGTGACTAGAATCAACCAATCAATATCTATCTACCTACCTATCTATATGCAAGTTCCAAAAGTG